AGACTCTGACCTGCCAATCAAACTCACCAGAGTCAAGGACTCGGGGACTCTGGACCATTGGGATTGGCTGAGCACTGTGGCTGCCGAGCAAATCCCAACCCTCCAGCTCTAGCTGAGGGAGGGATACAGTGCTGTTACTGATTAGTTCATATTTTGACAGAGTAATACATTTATTAAATATAAATGAGGAAAACGCTCAACTTCTTTTTGTATTAAACATTGTATTGCAAGAGAGTTTATCATTTCACTGGAGGTGTCCAAAGCAAATATACCAGGATTATATTACTTTTCAGGCAGATTTGCTTTATGCTCCAAAAGGCATGAAAGGCTGGCATTATTCCAATATGACACATGTCTTGAATTGTTTTACTTCTTTAGAAACAATATAGTATATATAACAGCTTTGTAGGGTCTGAAATTCCTGATAATCTATCAGTGGAACACAACATTTTGTTTCTTTTGGAATCAGAAATACGCCTTGTAATTTGATATCTGGATAGGTTCTCGCTTATCAGTTTTCCCTTCCACCATCAATATTTCCCTTCACTATTCACTAGAATCCACATACTTTTCTGAAGAAATAGGAAAGACTAAAAGTCTCAGGAAATTCCAGAATATTTTTTTTTTATGTACAAAGGAAAGTGATTTTTAGCTGTAATAAAAATGAAAGTTGATAGGTTTGGATGAAACCCTGGAACTGTTCAAGCAGATTGTGTGATATTTCTCCCACAGCTTTGCTAGTGTACCCATATATTGAAATGAAATACTCACCCTTCATTATCAAACCATGGCCTAAGTTATAGCTGCACCATTTTTATTAAATTCAGTGGGGGCTCCACAGATAAAATCCTGGTTCCTCCTTTGAAAATCAAATCCCCAAGCATTGCAGTGCTTTTGTGAAGTATATTGGTTTCCTCTAGGGACTAAAATGAGCCCATCAGAACTATGTGGTCTAGTGGATAATCCTATTTCTGACCTTGGCACTGGCCCGCTGAATAACCTCAAGCAAGTAATTTAATCTCTGTGCTTCAGTTTCCCCATCTGTAAAATGGGGATAATGATACTAACTTCCATTGTAAAGGACTTTGAGATCTATGGGTGAAAAGTGCTACACAAGAGTTAGGCATTACATTTTGGATTTGCTGATACTAATTATTATTGATTATAATTATTTACCATACATCAAAATTCAGTATGAACATTAGATAATTATGTAATCCTCAGAATAAGACTGTGAGGTAGACAAATACTATTAATATTCCCATTTGCAGATGGGGAAACTGAGGCAGAAAGGCCAGTTTATGTATGCAAAACCACAGATTAAAACTCTGCCAATGGCTGGAGTTTCTGGATCCTGGACTTATGCTCAGACTATTCCTCTTCCCACGTGCTATACCTGTAATCTCCCTCTAGCATTATCAGTTTGCTACTGCAAACAATATTCTAGAATGGAAGTGCTATGCCCTATTACAAATGTGAATTACCTGTACATCCCTGGTGCCTGGGGCCTCTTACAAGTACATTATTTCTGTTGTATTACAGTAATAAAGGATGGCCTTACATAAGATATCTCAAATATAGCTTTCATGCCAAATGATTCTGCACTATTCAAGTCAATGGGAGTTTTTACATTGACTTGAATGGGAGCAGGATCAAGCTCTAAGTGCCCTATGGTTCAGGATGGATCTTAGACTTATAATATCTTTGGTACTAGGAAGTGAAATTATTTCCTTGTTTTTCCTCTCCTGGAAGGGTGGCTTCTTTCAAACCACTCTCACTGATAACTCTCCTTAACATACATGGGTATGGTAATTAAATTAATATGATTAATCCTGTTTATGCTTAAAAACAGAGAGGATGTGTACCATGGGGTATTTCTTTTCTTTTAAAAATGATCAATTTTCCAATATAATATCAGTATTATTAAAAGACAAAATTTGCTAAAGATAAATCATACAATTTAATATAAATTCTTCAAATAACAAGGCCTCTAATCACTTCGAGCATTAAATGAACTATGAAAAGAGTTAAGATAGGAGCAAAAATGAATAACAGAAGGTATTTCTTTGGCCTTTTCATTACGTGGAATTACTAAAATTATGTCACCTAGAGCCACCAATTTACACCTAGCTGAAATCTGGCAGATCATATCTCTGATGTAAACCAAGTTTAAAATATTACCTCCACATCCCTGTTGCAAGTTCTTAGGAACAACCCATTTACATTTCCAAACTGCACATCACCATTCTTAAAGCCCTTTGGAGTTTATCAACAGCTTTCCTTAACTGGCCACGGTGGCTGCTGTTTAGCATCAACTGGTATTCCTTCCCCAAAATGCTGACTGTGCTACCTCTTTGTCTCTTCCAGCCTGTGCGAGCCAGGAGATGATATATCAAGATTAGGACTCATAAATGGATCTCCTGTATTACAGTGCAGAGTACTAACATTGCACAGATCATTCTGGTTTCTCCATTTTTACACTGCAGGATTGAAAAAACAAACAAATACCAGTTCTGGGTCATTTTCATGTAAAATTGCCAAGCACACGTGCAATAATAGCTAAATACAATTTTTATGACATTTTAAACTGTAAGAGATAATGCCACTACTGCCGTAAGACTCTTAACCTTCTCAGTAAATTACTTTCATAATTGACCTGTGGTTTTTAAACATCAGCATTAGACAACTTTTCCCTCCCTCAGAGATATATTATATACCTCACACCTATTCACTTTAATCACTTTCTGTGTATGTAAACAAATATTGACTGTTGCTGAGATCAATATCACAAAGTACTTAAGGACCACTACAGTGCTTATACTGCTAAGGCAAAATTGTGGTTATGTCTGAAAGGCTGATCAATCACAACACTGAATAAAACAGTTCTACATCAACTGTATTCATCTCTGCTTCTCAAAGACCTCAATAAAATGAGAAATAATTTCCTAACAGGCAGATAATTTTTTTAGAATGGTATTCTTAGGCTATCCAGTTTAGGACAGTAACCCACCAGTAATCAATTATATGTTGCCTTCATTCTGATTCTGGAAATTATGTAATAACAGGATTTGGACATGAAGTAATATGACACACCCAACAGGAAGTGGGACAAAAGTTTTCTTAGTCCTGGCCCTGGTCCTTGGTAATATGCAAATCTTGGCAATCTATTGAGAATCCCTCATTAAGCGCAGATTAGTGAGGCTCTGTTGCAGCAGGCTTTCTGTAGCTTGTTTTAGATATGTTTTCCTGTGCTTAACTATTGTTTCTTTGCTATTCAGTATGCAGGATTTTTTTAAATGCACTGACTGATTTGCCTAAAAATAGATAAGGACAAGTGCAATATAGAGCCTTTAAAAACCTCAGTAATACAAGTCAAAAAGATACTATGCACAGTATCAGTACAAAAGCATCTTGCACTAGATAGGAGGCAGAGTTCTTAGAATTGCAGCTGCAATGTGTAAAAAAACAAAAAACCCTCTAGATAAGCAGCATCAAGGAATAGATTCTGTCCAAGAATCACAGTTTGCTATTCACTAAAGCTAAATAAATGATTTATCAGGTCAGTAAAACAAAAGATTTGCTCAGATTGCCTCCTTGAGTATCTAAAACCCTTATGAGGGTCTGGCAGTCCCATAAATTGATACTGCTGAACGATTGCAGTAGAGGACTGGATGGCTCTGTGGATTAGAAACAGAATACAGAAGCTTTCACTTCTAAGTGACCAAAAGCTGATACCATTGGATGGCTGTCCAACTGCCAATGCAAAATGAATTTGTGGTCTTATTCCAGTTACTAGTATGTGGGCAGAGCTGAATAAATACTGCAGAAAGATTCCATTAATATTTGTTAGAGTTATTAAACTAATTTGCTTTGATTGTATTTGTGCCTTTGTATATTTACTGTCTGTGAATATTCTAGTGCATCATTTTGCTGAGTAGGCATATTAACAAAACCAAAAAATACTGGATAATATTCACAGAAAGTAAACTCTGGATTCATAAACATCAATATTCATTTTGGAAACCTGATTCTAAGAATAACATTAATACAATACGTGAACAGAAATATACCATGTTGTATGCAGTGTTGTTGTAGCCATGTTGGTCCCAAGATATTAGAGAGACAAGATGGTTGATGTAATATCATCCATTGCACCAACTTTTGTTTGCGAGAGAGACACACTTTTGGGCTTACACAGATCTTCCTCTGATCTGGGAAACATACTCAGAGTGTCACAGCTAAATACAAAGTGGAACACATTGTTTAGCATAGGAAGTTAACATGTATTTCAAGGGTCAACTCAAGGTGAAGTGGTCTGTTAACACTCCTCCAGTCATTGGGGGAAAGCAAGTGGGCGGACTCAGCTGGGTGGGGTGTTTTAGTGGGTTATAGATTGTTGTAATAAGCCATAAATCCATGTCTCTATTCAGTCCATGATTTTTAATGTCTAGCAAAGTTATAAATTTAGGCTCCCAGGCTCATCTTTTGAAAGTGTTATGCAGGTTTCCTTTAAGGATGAATAAAGTCTGATAGGTCAGATATAGAGTGATCACTTTGTGAAAAGTGTTCACCCACAGGTGGTAGGGTGTTTTTGTTTTTTATCATTTTCGTGTGTGAGTTCATTTGAGAGCATAGTGATTGTTTGGTGTCCCCCACATAGTTGTTATTGGCACATTTGGTGCACTGGATAATCACTACGCTCTTGAATGAACTCACACAGGGAAATGATTAAAAGACAAAAACACCCTACCACCTGTTCGTGAACACTTTTCACAAAGTGATAAAATTAACATTAAACATTGGCTATGACTGATATTTTGGACTCATTCCTGCAAGTGCTCAGTGCCTCTTGCAAATCATACCCAAGATAGAGGGGTTCACTCTGCAGGAGGAGCACAGATCATTGGAGGACTGGAAATTTTACATGGATTGTAGGTACTCAGATAGAATTGCCTTTTCTATTTAATGGGATGGTAAAATCAATGAGTTACATCATCTAATTGATATAAAAAGTATTTTATTTTAATTTTGTATTAAGAATGTTATAGCATATGCAGAAAATTGATATTTGCTACATAATGATTTACAAAACAAATATTAAACCAGTTAAAGATTCTCACAGAACGCACAAAATTTTAAGTTTTCATATGTGAAAGAAATGTTATGCAGAATTACTTTAACATCCTTCAATAACCAGTAATAAACTAATGTCCCAATATTGCAAAGAGATCATGCAGACAGATCCATATGCATGCAGCCCCAATTACTTCAACAGGAAAGAGAGAAAATAATATTCTGGTGAAATGGTGTATATCTGAATCCAATACACAATCAAGTGAACTGGACCTAGTGCAAACATGAAAAGTTTTTCTTCTAAATGGATGGGACATTCTAACCATTAAGGAAACACAGAACACTGTTGCCAATCATATATTGGATATTTGCAGAAAGTTGACTTTCTGCTAATTCAAACAAAATTCAAAGCATGTTACACAGTATTTTAGATTATTATGGAATAATTCATTTAACATTTAAAAATGTTTTATCCAACAGCTACCGTTTTTTGTTATTGACAGAAATATGTTTGCAATCAATCGCAGGTGCTGAATTTATCTGAAATAACAGATATGTATTATTTGAAAATATTTCAGCACTGGGACTGTGATGTCATGCAGCTATCTATGTAACCGCAAATGAAACATTCCTTTGCCATTTATAAACGTAGGTCCACATTTTTCACATTAGGTGCCTAAAGTTGGGTACCTACATGCATCTTAAGGCATTTAACCAGTTGACCCGCTTTTCAGAAGTGCTGTATATCTGTACTCCACTGTTGCTGGATGGGGTGCACAGATCATAACTGGCCTATATACATATGAATCCAGGTCTGCCCACTGTCCAACATTCAGCACAAATTAACTAATTTCAGAGCTCTAACTTCCATAATCCACTCCCTGGAAAATGATAATCCTTGGATTTATCAGTATACTGATACAGCAAATGTGTAGTGAAACAGCTATTTAATATGGCCAGCACTGTATTTAGCGTTGTACAGTTACACTGGCTCTGACTGCTGGAGTGGCTGCAGCTCGTTCTCTTTCTTTAGCAATTTCCATCTCTATTTTGGCCTTGATTTTGTCCCAATCAACTTCCAACTGTAAGAACAGGAAAGATAGTAGGTAAGTGTTAACATTATATTAAATACATATTAATGAACAACAGTATGAAGGTACAAGTCAAAAAGTGATCTGCTCTGTTGTTATACAGGTCTCCTCTTGATGCAAATATATAACTACTATTAATGCTAATGCAAGTTACATGTGTGTATCAGTTGATGGCTCTCTTCTATATTCAATATCTAATGAACAGTATGCTATTGGAGGTTCCTGCCTTTGAAATGAAACAAACCTGATACTTTTCAACAAATATTAAAAACTCATATATGGTGAGAAAATATTCAACAATGGAAAATAAACTTAGATGAGCCTACTAGGCGTCTTTCAGCTTAAAAATGAATGAAATCTATTCGTCAAATCAATCAGAATGCAGCTACGTGCTCATGGTACATTGAGCAACTTCTCGCTACTACACCAAAGTCCATCAAACAAATTGATGGCATCTACATTAGTCACCTGATAGAACAGAAATAACATTGTCGATACTTGAATTCTGCTTTGATGATAAATGTTTCAGGTTTTGTATTGGCATTTCTTTAGTGGCAGAAAAACATCATCCTGTGGCAGTTTCCTAGTTCAGTTAAACTATGAATACTGGAATACTGAACAGAGGAACAAGTTTCAAGTTGGCTCTTGGATGGATAAGCCATTTCTTATCCTCCATCAAAGCTGGCACTGTTCACATTTGCCTGTAATGCAGCTCAACTGATTTTGCCTGAACTGTCAGAACTAGCATCCTATTCTGTTCTCTTAGTTTTTCAAGCACTTGAATGAATTTGAGGACTGTCTTTCTATTTTGTTTTGTCTCCTCCTATGAACTGTCCATTTTTAATTACTCTTTTTATATATTTATGCCCATCTGTAATAAGGACATCAATTCCCTATTTCAGACTGAGCTACAGCATCTTGATCTACATTAATGAATATCTGAACTCACCTACATTATTGACTGTGTGCATTTTAAGAAAAATTTCATCGGAGGCTCTGCAGCAGAGTGCGGAGCCAGTGCATGGGGTTGGGGCAGCGTGCGGAGCCCTGTGGCCCCCTGCTTCTGGGGCGCAATGCAGTGTCGAAACAGATAGGCATTAGCCTGCCTTACCTAGACAGCACCGCCGACGGGACTTTTAACGTTCCGGTCAGCGGTGCTGACCAGAGCGACCCAGATAATTTATGAGTACATTGAACAGCACTCGTCCCAGTATGGATCCCTGGGAGACACCACTATTTATCTCTCTCCACTGTGAAAACTGACCATTTATTCCTACCCTTTGTTTCTGATCTTTTAACCAGTTACTTATCCATGAGAGGACCTTCTCTCTTATCCCATGACTTCTTACTTTGCTTAAGAGCCTTTGGTGAGGGACCTTGTTAAAGTCCAAGTATGCTATATCTGCTGAGTCACCCTTGTCCACATGTGACAGAAAGCAGGGAGTGAACAGGTGAGCCTGCACTCTGATCACTTATATGCCCATTAATTCTCCAGAGGAAGCTGATTGGGGTAATTATCTAATCAGACTAAAAAGAATGGCTCAGGTATGAGAATCTCCCTCACATCCTTTGCAGTGTAGACTGATGCAAAGAATTCATTTAACTTTTCTGCAATGGCCTTGTCTTCCTTGAGTGCTCCTTTAGCACCTCGAACTGTGTGGCAGGCTTCCTGCTTCTGATATACTTAAAATTGTTTTTGCTGTTAGTTTTTGTGTCTTTCGCTAGTTGCTCTTCAACTTCTTTTTTGACCTGCCTAATTAAACCGCTACACTTGACTTGCCATGGTTTATGTTCCTTTCTATTTTTCTCAGTAGGATTTGACTTCCAATTTTTAAAGAATGTCTTTTTGTCTCTAACTGCCTCTCTCATTTTTGCTGTTGTTGAGCCATTGTGTTATTTTTTTGGTCCTCTTACTGCTTCTTTTAAAATCTGGGGTATACATAGATTTTGAGCCTATATTATGGTGCTTTAAAAACATTTCCATGCAGCTTGCAGGCATTTCAGTCTTGTGACTATTCCTGTTAATTTCCGTTTGACTGGCCTCGTCATTTTTGTGTAGTTCCCATTTTTGTGTAGTTCCCTTTTTGAAGTTAAATGCTGTGCTGGTTTTCTTTGCTATCTTCCCTCCTAAAAAGATGTTAAATTTAATTACATTACGGTCACTATTACCAAGCAGTTCAGCTATATTCCCTTCTTGGACCAGATCCTGTAAGCCACTTACGAATCATGGAATTCTTCTGTGTCCCCGCTCAGTTGGTCCACAAGGCTATGTTCTTTTCCTGTGAGGTATAGAGCTACAGTGCAGATCTTGTGTTGAATGCACCATTTCCATAAAGCTGCTGCTTCCCTGCACAATTGTATGGAGTGAGTCCCTTCTTGCTTTTTTCTATAATACATTGTTTTGTCTTTGATGACTCAAACTACTTGGAGATGAAGATGAACTAGTTACGATTTCAGAGCTCAACTTATTGGTCTCAGCTTTAGCAAGTTATGTGCAGTTTCTATTCCTGGAAATTCTAATGGTCAGACTCTCAACTTGTCAAAATATGCTTCCCAACCCATGTTTCAAGTGACTGTTGTGACTGTTGGGCTTGGAGAGTTGAAAACAACTCTGTTCATAACATTGAGACTGAATCCACCATAACAGAGACAAAAGTATGTTTCTTGCTGTGGTCAGTGTCAGAAACATCATCTAAGTCTGGTTTGTAATTCTTTTCCAACCAGTGTTGGAGAGATCTCATTCTGAGTCAGGCATAAGAGGTTAAATACATAGTTGTGGTTATTAGGCCCAATAGCATGAGAGAGAATATGCTTCTTTGACATGGAAACTGGTTATAGTTGATGGAATCTTTCTTCTGGCAGAAAGGCTTCTGTCTTTCTGAGTGTCCAAAACTGCCCCTTTGAAGAAGAATTTTTGTGTGGGTAGTGAGATCAACTTCTCCCAGTTTGCAACAAGTTGTCTTTTATAGAGGAGGGTCACTGGTTAATTTTCTCTGATCCTCCAGGAGGGATTTTGCAAATACTGCCATCTTATCTCAAAGATGTTATTGGTAGCATGTCATTACAGCCTGGTAGTGCGACACTCTTATGCCCAAAGATGCAAATTAAATTACTTTTCTACCCAGAATTTCCATTTTTTTGCCTATTTTATCAGAAAGCATGGAATGTATCTGGCTATCCTTATACCTTTGTACTGCAGCTTCTACCACAAACAAGTTGGAGCCAGATGGATGTGAAAAAATTAAAATCGATTATGTATAATTTAACCGCCTTTTTTGACATTTGCCTGAACAGAAGCAGACATGGCCCATATTGCTTTTGTTGGCTGTTAGAAACCATTCAAAACTGGGCATATAATTCTATTTTTGGATGGAGAACCAAGAATCCCGAAGTTTGGATGAGAAATTTTCTCAACTGTCACAGATGGACTTTTCAAAGTAGCTGCCATTCTGTCAACTAATTCATAAAATAATCCTCTGACAGGGAAGATGCAGGTGTAACCTCCACATCCTCATCCAAAGAGCTATGGTCCTCCAGCTCAGCATCCATTTGTTGGTATCTTCAGGCAATAAAGGCTGCTCTTCTTCTAAAAGGACCTCTGCTACAATGGTAGGAGATTTCTCTCTCTCTCTTTATGAAACATAAAAGCATCTGAGAGTTTCATATCTGATGACTGAAATCTTCCTGGAACTCTTGGAGGAGAAATTTTTGTGCTATAGCAGGTGTGATCCAGTTCCTGGAAATACCTGGGAGAGGGCCAATAGGTCCATCTAGCCCATAGGGATATTGTTAATCCACCCAGCAATCCATGCCCAGCTCCTACTATCTGACACAGTAGGTATCCTCTCCAAATGTTTCCTTAGCAGCATGCTTTTCCTTATGACATGTCACGTAAGGTAACTGACTCAGTTGTTCAGATTACACATCTGACTGCAGATCCAAACTCAATAGTATAGAAGAGATCAGTGGTCTTAGGTGCAGTATAAAAAAGGACAATAGCATCTTTTCAGGAGAGCCTGAGAGAGTCTTAGAAGGTGGGAGGGGCAGTCATACATATCTCTTCCATCTTTCTTTTCTCTGGAGGAGAAGGAACAATATTGGGGAATCTGAAGAAATCCTGTTTGCCTCCTGAGTCATTATTGCTCTCTTCCAGATCCAACATAATTTGAGGTTACAGATCTGCCTGGTTGATCTGAGCTACTGCTGTCATGGTAAGTTGCCGAGTGGGCTTGAAAATAGAGAAGCAGATCTGGTGTATCCGTAATAACAGCTGTCTGATTTGTTAGATGATCAGGATCTTTTGTTCTTGATTTTGGAGCTGCCATTTTAGGATCTGTAGAAGACTGACCTGGAACATCCCTCAAGTGCATGTTGGCTCTCCTAATACAGGCCTTTCTGAGCAGTGAGTCTTTTTCCAGCACCGAAGTTCCCAAATCCGAGGGGGGGGTGGAGGGTTTCACTTCCCTGGACTGGCTTTGAGGCTGTCACTGATGGGGTTCTTTCTCTACCTTTTTGTTTCAGATCTGATGGTTTATGATCCTTTTTAGGTACCAGAGGTTTCTTGGAGTTTGGAACTGAAGACAGTACTTTCTGCAGAGGTCTCTGCTGCCTAGTCTCTCCAGAAGTATCAGGGGCCAAATCTGGTCTATGTTCACTCACGGATCCAAGAAATGTTCTGGATCCAGAGAGCTTGGCTGCCAAAGCCTCCTGCAGTGGTAGCCCTTATAGTCTGTTCTGCCTCTCTTTCGGCATCCTTGGAGTGAAAGTACTGCAGATTGAGTATCTTGAAGAAGAACGATCCTTCCCAAGGCAGGCTGGGCATCTTATGTGAGCATCTGATGCCAGAAAGACTGCAGGGCAAGAGGCCCACTTTTTACAATCAAGGTTCTTGATCTTTGGATCTGCCACTAGATTTTAATAGTGGAATCGAAGTTGTACAAACTACTCAAAAATTTGGTTTGTTTGTTTATTAAAGAAATAAAACCTAACCATTGAAATGCTAAAAGCTAACTATTTACACCAGAAAACTAGATAAATCTATGCTAAAAGTGTAGTAGGCACTATCAAAGCAAAAAATATGGGCCAAGAACTCAGATGGAGTTCCTGATCTGTCAGCTGCAGCAGCTGGAAGCAATTGAGGTTGTTGGAATGCCATGCCCCCTTCTATTGCCTGGGTCTCCGATCATTCAGGACTATCCAGGGGAGGGTCAGAAGGGGGCGTGACAACACACCACCAGGCACTGCTATCTAAAGGTTCAGGGGTTGCTTCCTGCCACTAGGTGGCACCAGTGGGGCCGAGTCTTGACCCACCGTAGGCTGAGAAGGTCCCTGGCCACTGCGAATCCCTCGGGAGTTGATGGCACCATGAACTGGTCGTCTACTCTGAGGTTGTTCCTTTGTAGGTGCCCGAGGAGCTTGCTGTGGCACTGGAATTGCCGGCACCTGATGTGGTGCTGGGAGAGATGAGTGGTGTGGTGCGGATCTCACTCTCTCCCTGTCTCCCTTACATTTCAGCACTGGAGACCTGGTGTCCTCTTGGTGCTTCTTCTTAGGCACCTGAGAGGGTGATCAGTGCTGAGAGTCCCGGGTAGATGGAGGAATGCTCCGCACCAAAGCTGAGGTGCTTGGTGCTGAGTCTGAGAGAGGCTCTGAAGCTGTTCTTAAGACTTCCTCCCATTGGGAGGACCTTCAGTCGGGCCTCTTGGTCCTTATTGGTCCAGGGCCTGAAGTCTCTGCAGATTTGGCAATGGTCTTACCTATAAGCTTCCCCCAGGCACCTGCGACAGCTCGAGTGGGAGTCGCTCAGAGACATAGGCTTACTGCAGGCAGTGCAGGGCTTGAAACCCGGCGACCGAGGCATGCCCTGGCACTGGGAAGGCAGACAACCCCACAAATTAAGTGTGGAGGCATCCGAGCTATATAAAACCTAAAACTACTAAAAACTACTCTAAGTACTAACTATAATAACTATTTACACAACTGGTATCAACACTACGAAAGAATTGCCTAAGCAATGAAGGACTCCAACCAACCGTCATGGGCGGTAAGAAGGAACTGAAAGGGAACAGGGTCGGCAGGGTCCTTTATACTGGAGCCATGTGCATGTGGCACCCGAGAGTGCAAGAGCCGACCCGACGGACACTGCTAGGGGAAAAATTTCCGGCAACTATGCTTGGAGCACTCACCCACCTGTATGGGAATGGACATGTGCAAGCACTTGAAGAACTGAAGCTTGCATATGCATATTGTACAGACTGATAAATTTTAATGCTGATTGGAGAAAAGCTAATAAATCTGTAATGTGGAAATGTACAGGAATCAAAGTGAAAAAAGACCCGAATTGAAGAAATACTGGACCAGAAACTGAAGGACTGAGAGTGAAAGACAAGGGATCAGAGGCTGAGATGACCATCATGAAGTAGAGAAGAGCTTCCCGGTACCCTGCAACTCAATAACTTGGGCTCCTACGTGTTCCATCTTATTTGTTTATTGTGAGGCATAAATATATGTTCATACACTATTGATGACAATAATTCTGTCTGAAAAGTTATAAATAAAGGCAAAAATTGATTTAGCCCAAATTGTGTGGATTTGTGACTTGGTTTCCCATTTTACACTTCCAGCAAGGTTTTGATCATAATAGTTCCTCTTCCTGGCCTTAAAAAACTATCAAATACTACACAAGTAATCAACTCAACTTGATATTTTTGTTCGGAACTAAAATTAGAATTATAGGTATTCTGTGAAACGGTATGCCTATGAAATATAGATAGATAGATAGATATAATAATAGTTCATGATTGGCTCTTAATTTTTCTTCTGGATAACCTTACTGACTGTTACTATTAATATTCATACAATGTGTTACTGAAGACATTAAAAGGTACATTTTCAACCCAACTCCCTGTTTATGTACAAAATGTGTGCCCCAAAATAAAAGCCCCTGCATGTTTTCCGGATGCAAAATTTATGCAGACTTATTTTATGCCCCCAAATACATTGCATTCACAAATGTTACTAGTTCCATATCAAGCTTTTAATTTGTGCTTGCAGTCAGATAAACAGTGTGTAACAACCAAGATTTACATCCACAGCTGAACTGATGCAAAAATGTGAGAGCAATATTTTTTGCACAAATTGTGACCACAAAATGAAGGCTGACCTTTTGAAAATGTAGGGCTAAGTTTCCACAGAATACTTACACCTTCTGCATACTGCAAAAATCGCGTATTGGTTTCTTTTTTACCAAAGTCCTCCAGGAACTTTTGTCGATAACCCAAAACTGTGTCAACATGTGTCTTGTGCTTCACTGCTAGTTCCAGTGCCCTGGAATAAAAGAAAAATGAGCTTGTCATGCTGAAAAAAAATACTAACACAATTACAATTACTTTGGCTTTACAAAAAGAGATCTGTACAGTGATTGTGCTGGAGGTTGATCTTCCTGATGCAAGGTGCCAAGCAATTTAGCATTAGTGTTAACCATAGGAAGGTGAGAGTAACCAATTTTTCCTGATAACATACATCACAAAGTGGATAGTGTATGATATATAATTAACATTTTTCTGTTGACAACCTAATCACATTATAGAAACGTGACAACAGGATTTTTTTTAAGTAATTGAAAAAATACACCCTCTTTTACTTTTGAGTATATTACTGTCAGTAAGAAAGGGTAAAAAAATTAACTTTTAGTGAAATTATTGAATTTAAAAAAATGTCTTGGCTCTTGGAGAGCATCTACTTGAACACATATAGCACATGCAAATGACCACTTTTAGAACACCCTAAAAACGGGAAGCTCAGCAGCCATTGCATTATTATGATACGCCTATTTGTTTATATTTGTTTTCTTTGGAGTGATATAAAATTAAATTTAAATATCTTAGAATGTTTTATTAATTGTTTTCCAGATAAGACATTCTTGGCAACATCAGCAAAACACAGATCGATATATGTGCTTGCCAGAAAAAATAAAGTTTCTAAATTAATTTACATGTAATCCTTAGCATTAATGAAGCCCATTAGGCAACATACTTTAATTGTTTGAGTTTTCCCCATAAAGAATATTTCCAAAAGAAAACTTAATTCAGATTGAAAGGTGGTTTGCTAATTTCTCATTTTATCTTCATTTAGACACTTAATTGACTAATCTATTAACCATAGTTGCCTGGACCCTGAGAAACTCAGAATGCACAATACTAAACTGAAATTAAAGTCGATATCAAATAAGGCTTTGTGTTAGGAACCAAATTAAGCAGTTCATAGTATCTGAACTTTCATCCCTGTTAAAAATAACAGTGTTAAATGATGATACAGAAAGAGAATTACAGGAAATATACTAAAGCTGCATTTACATATTATTTTAATAGATAGATGCACCCAACTATATTAATTACTTTAAGCAGTCAGACCCAATAATGCATATTTGAAGCAATATTTAGACCATGAGTCCTTTATGAGTTAAAATGCTACCTAAATCTAAAGCTGTAAGGAAGGCAAATTTTCCCCATTACATTTAGGAACTACTACTTCCACTTTATTTGAGTGTAGACAAACTCTATTTATCTCTAACTTTCAAATGATTATTTGGATGCTGAACAGATGTGGCATGAGAATCTGAACTTGGAGCTGAGTAATCATTTTTTCTAAATTTGTTATAGTGGAAAAGTCGGCATACAGAGAGGTCCAATTTTCTCTCTACAGGGACATGAAGTGCCACATTTTTAAAGGGACCTCTAAATTTTGTACCCACAATCAGCCATGGTGAAGGGAGATTGGGGGCTTCTGCCCAATTAATAGTAAAGGGGCCTAAACATATTGTTGTCATGGTCAGGGAAAATGGTTTCCATGCTAGTGGGGGAGTTCTTCCTAACCTATTCCCCAAATCCTGTTGTGGGAAGAGAGACATTTTTTGAGCACCATCCTTTTGCTTACTCTGTATATCATCATGATATATGATTTAATTCAATGTTTCTCAGGGTCCAGGCAACTATGGTTAATAGATTAGTCAATTAAGTGTCTAATTCTCTAAACATTTAAAACTTAATCTTAGTAAGATTATTAATGGTAGCAGCTATGGTATGTTGAGAGAAATATTACCTATCCCAATTATAAAGGTTAATGTTGACTTGAATAGCTTGATAAATAAGGCCTGCTTGAAGAAGAAGCATTTCAGCATCTTGTATATTTCCACTGAACAGCAGTATATGAGCCATTCTTGATTCTTTTGATGGAAGTTCCTTGATAGAATTGATGTACTGAACTTTGTCAATCTGTTAAAACAAAGTGTGATGGTTTAACTGGAGAAATACACTAATAAAATTAGCATTGCAATCATTTAGTTAAAAAATAGTTAAATCTCATCTACTTACATCACCGATTGATGCGTAGGCTATTTCTGCTGTTGTCATGTCCTTATTAGCAACTGCCATAGCAGCTAAGCATGCCCACATGGTTTGATCCTAAAAATAAGACAAAATAAAAATGCTAAAACATCTTTAATTTTATATGATATGAAAATGCACTTTTTCTCAGCCAGAGTGCAGGGATGCTGTTCAGCTACTGAAAATGATGTACTGATACACAACTGTATAATTTATCTCAGTTGTGCAGATCCCTATAGTCTAGTTGTGTGTGCATGTGTGTGTGTCTTAATATCATAATCATTGTATGGTTACTTCTCAATAATTATGCAGTATGAAAATTCCTGTACTGTGATCTGCTAACAATGACTTTGAGCCAGAGTTCAGAGATATGCCTAATCTTTGTACTATTATTTCTCAATAACAGTGAATATATAAATTTATCAATCCCGGCTACTCTGATCCTGTATGTAAATGAAGGAGAAAGAAGAAAATACCGGATAGCAAAACAAATAGACGAACAAATCAATGAAAAGAAAATAGTTTTAAAGAGTTCTCTTTTCTATTTATTCCTATTGTATTTTAGTGGATTTCCAGAAAAGGCTGCTAATTTTTTTAAAACTATTTGTAATTATGAGAATTTTATAACACTTCGGTTTTCCTTTATTTCAATTTCATGACTGTAATTTTATTAAAGAGTCAACAGAAATATAATCAGGAAAAAAGTTGAAGAAAATCCTAACATTCTGGCTCATTTTGATCTTTCCTCTTCTCGCTCCTTTCACTTCACGCTTAGAGCCTGATCACACTAGTAATATAAAAAGATATGTATTTAAAACATATTAGTTAACATGTGTTAACACATTTTAACACATTAGTTTAGACATGGCAAATATAATTTTAAATACATTAGCTAGTCCAGGTAAAGCCTAGGAGGAAATTGAGTTTTTAACATGTTAATCAAAACATGTTCTCTAATACCTTTTAAAATACACCTTTTATACGAGTGTGGACAGGCCCTTAGAAGCAGTTTGAGAGTGCAACCTGATTAAAACGCAGTATGCACACACATTAGATATTGTCCAAACTTAATGCTCAGCCCTTTTGTACAAATACTTCTGCATGTAACTTTACAAACCTGAATAGTCCCACTGAGGTCAGTAAAGTGTGTAAAGTTATTCTAAAAGTTTGAACAGGAGTACTTGTGGCACCTTAGAGACTAACAAATTTATTAGAGCATAAGCTTTCGTGAACTACAGCCCACTTCTTCGGATGCATATAGAATGGAACGTTCCATTCTATATGCATCCGAAGAAGTGGGCTGTAGTCC